GTTCTCATGATATCATGCAAAATTCAAAAACTCAAAAAAGTCCAATAAATTAGTGGGTAAGCTGAGTGCCAGAAGCAAAACAGCATGCACCTTGATACTGGGTGCCCTTACTGCTTTGCACAGCACTCAGATAGAGATGGCTCACGATTGCTGAAGTAGTAGAGGGTGGGGTAACTGGGTGTGTCTCTATTGCTGAAAGTGTGGGCATTAGAGAGGGAAATTAGCACTGCCAGCCTACCATATCTGACTCTGAAAACAAACATCCCTATATTTATTCACCTGTACTAGTTCTCATTGTAAACCTGATACTTTGCATAGCACATAATGTGTCAGTCAGATGTCACCAGAAAAACTAAATGTGTGGGCTAGATATGTTAAGAGATTTATTGCAATTGGCTTATGCGGTTGTGGGAACTGGTTAGGCAGGTCTGAAGTTGCTAGGGTAGGCTGGCCAGTAAGGCCGGAAGAAGAGCAGGAAGGGCAAACCAGAAGCTGAAGCTGTAATCCAGGGAAATGTTTCCTCAGGGACGCCTCAATTCTGTTCTGAAGGCTTCCAGCTGAGTTAATCGGGCTGACTCCTGTTAGGAAGATAATCTGTTTTACTTAAAGTCAACGGATTGTAGACCTTACTCAGTTAAAACACAGCGAACAAAACACCTGCTGCAATGTTGTGGGAGCAAAAAGCCGCTGAGAGAAGAGCATAGGTTAAAAAAAAAATGGACCCTTATTCCTCCATGGAATCTGAGGGGTGGTGCAAACATTTACCATGCTTGCCTGCTAAGCAAAAGGTTGAAGGTTTGAGTCCACCCAAAAGCACCAACCTGAGAGAAAGGTTTGGGGATCTACATCTGAAAACCTGACCAAGCACAACTCTACTCTGATGCACGTGGCTTTGCCATGAGTCTGAGCTGACTCACGGGCATTTCTTTGTGGTATTTGTGAAGAACTTCAATCTGAGGTAATGGTTGCAACTCCAGCGACTCAAACTCTCTACCGCCGAATCTGTGTTGACTAGTAACAACCCTGTATTGGATTTCCAAGTCTGTAAACCTTTACAGGAGCAGAAATCCTCATCTTTCTCCCTCCCAGCAGCTCATGAGTTTGAACTGCTGAGCTTGTACTTAGCAGTCTAGAACTTCTCCTACAGTGTCAGGGTTTAGAAAGAAACAAATCAGGTCAAAGTGTTTCTGGAAAACATGAGTGAGGACAGAGTTGTGCAGACGTACTTGTCTATCATTGGGCATTTAGTTTCATATCTTATACATTCACAGAAGCCCTGCACTTTTGTTAGGAAAAGACCCCCACTGTGTGAGAAATACCTTCATTCTGATATTACTGGTGTTTTTTGTTTTGTTTTGTTTTTTATGTTGCGAGTTTTAAACCATTTTTATTTTCGTGTTAGTTTTTTTTTTTTATATGCTCAAATTATTACTGTTGTTTTTTGTTTTGTTTTGTTTTGTTTTTTACCCCTGCAGAATAAGACTGAGAAGATTAGAATAAATCTGCCCTTGGCATAAATCTGGCTCTTAGTAGTTTCTTATACGTGTTTCATGTCCCCTGTGGATAAGAAAATGCCTATGGCAGTCTCTACTTTTCCATTCGAATTCAAATGGACAACCCACTTCCTACAAGTTTAGTCATTAGCTGGGAAAGGCAAACAAGAAACATGAACATCTCATCAGATTTCCCACTGACGACAAGGGATTTAGCCTTTCTGACCAACAGCTGAGTCTGGGCCTGTTTGCGTCTTTCCGCACGCATGCAAGAGTGCACACGCATACACATACACTTGAGGCAGGAAGAGGCTTTCATTAATTATGAAAATTTGGTTTTGATCTATTGCATTGGTTTTAGGTGCCCAATAACTGTCGAAGAACTGGTCTTTTGTAGTCTCTGCTTTCTGAATGTTGTTCTGGAAATACTACTCTGGGGATGGTGTCCTGCCATTTCATATGAGGACATCAGTAGGGAGATATTAGGACTGCAGACTGCAATGGATAGCACTGTCAGAATAAATATCTATTTTAATAAAAACATTTTTCATAAGCTTAGCTTATACAAGTGTTCCCACAAGGCTAATTTACTTTTGAACCTCTCATATGGACTGCTAACCACAAGATTGGCAATTCAAGCCTAGGAGCCACTCCTCAGAAACGCTCTTAAGGGTCACTGTGAATCAGAACCTACTCGATGGCACGTAGCAGCAACAATAGTGTGCCAGAACTGTCAACATTGCCCACCTTCAATGCCACTTCGAATCACATGGTTTCACCTGTACCGGCTACAAGCATGCATTGCTATTTTTGATGTTGTTGGTGTTTTCCCTAGTGACTGATTTTGTAAAATTTTCTGATGCTTTATGTGGGATTAGTATCTGTGAACCTACATCAAAAACTTTCTTGAGAATGAGGTCGTAATTAAAGGAAAAGGAGAAAAATTAAAAAGGCTTATGCTGAATTACTGATAACATTGTAACAAATAATGTTGCGATTCAACGTAGAAAGATTTCATAGAATACTTTAGTTGTTAGTATTTATATTATCTAAGAAATACTACACTGAAGCAATTTACAACTGTATTTATCAAATTGATAATAAAGGAGTCCTGGTGTGGCGCTTCAGGATAATGCGCTGGACTGCAAGCTCAGTTTGAACCACAAGGTTGGCAGTTTAAACCCACCAGCCACTCCTTGGAAACCCTATATAGGGTCACTATGACTTGATGGCACTTAACATCATCAAAGAATCTGGTGTTCTGGTGGCATAATAGGTTATGTGTTAGACTGCTAACTGCAGGTTCAGCAGTTCAAATCCAGCTGCTCTGTAGGAGAAAGATGAGGCTTTCTACTCCCATAAGATCTACAGTCTTGGAAACCCAATACAGGGTCAACATACAAGGAATTCGGATGGATGGCAGGAGAGGAGGCCCACAAAGGTGAGGGGAACCACCATGAGTAACAGCAGCCCTAGTATACCACTGCTTTCACTGAGTGATGTTCTAGAAAGATGTAGTTGCCACCAGAATGGAAAGGGACGAGCAAGTGGAACAAAGCAACAGGGAGTAGAGTGAAGACAGGAGAAAAGAACCCTCAGCTAGTGTCTCAATATATTATCAGCTATCCACTTAGGAGAATATCAAATCATTTGACATTTCTTGGGCCTGAGTGTGAAGGGCAGAGAGAGGCCAGGATTTGTTTGGTCTGTATGAATGAAGCCTCCCAGATGTTCTCTCTTCCCCCTGCAGCCCTCTTTGCTCTGGGGAGTCTATCAACTTGCCAGGGAGTGGCCTGGCCAGAGGCCAAAGCCACTGTGACCTTGGCACCTTAGAAGCTCTTACCCTCTCGCAGTGGTCAGCTGGTGGGCTTTATTCACTCTTGCTTGCAAACACTGATGAAACAATGCTTTTCAGGCATGGATTAGAAACAGCTGGTTTTGTTTCCAATCTGTCATCATTATAAAGCTTTTATTTAACTAGTTGTTGGTAAGTGCCTTCGAATGAATTCCAACTATAGTGACCAGGTATAGGGTTCAAACTGACCTTGGGGTCTAGTGCTTATCCTACAGTGCCACACCAGGACTCCATTTAACCAATAAGTCACTGGAATTTGGTTCACATCCTGGTTCATGTACCGCCTCTTGAAAAGAAAAGGACAAGAATCCTTAGTTCCAGCAGTCCTTATTTTCACAGCGTACATGGTTATAAGTCAGACTGCTAACCTCAGGCTTTCTGCTCCTGTTAAGATTGACAGCCTTGGAAACCCTATGCAGGGTCGCTATGAGTCAGAACTGACTCCACCATCAAACTGCTGTCTAAAGTCACAGAGATGCCTATGAGCACATTCATTCCCGGGCTGGTATTTATGTCTTCTTCTTTAGGGGTTTTTGTCTTCCTATCAGAGTTTCTGCCAGGGAAGCAGAGAGAAAGAAGTAAACCTGTCACAGGATGAAATATGTGAGAAGGAGCAGAGCAGAGCAGAGGTGAGAGGGGGTACCTGGTAGCTTTCGGGGCTAGACCTCTGGTCCCAAAGTCTGTAGCCCTGGCTTTTAGGCACAGCTCTGCTTCTTAGCTAAGTGACTGAATGAGTCACATTTCCTTTCTGGGCTTCATTTTCCTAAGAACCTGACATGACTGCTACTGCGGAGTCCCTTGGATCATGAAGATCCTGAAAAACTCCCCCAAAGGGGAAACAGGCCCAGAGACCAAGGGAACACATAGACCTCATCCCAGCCACACATTCCTGCTTACTTGTCTACTTTATTATTTCTTTCTGGTACTTTAAGCAGCTCCCAGCTTTTCTCAAGCAAAACTTGAGGCCACACCCAGCTTTTCTCAAGCAAAACAGAAGCTCCTACACTAGCTGTGTGACCTTGGGATGGTCATTGATCCTCCTCAACCCAATTTCCTCTGATGCAAAAACCGGTAGAAAAATACTTGGTAGATTTAATATGTAATAGCTACTGGTTTAATAAATAACTGAAATATTTTCGGATTATTCACAATTGCATATAACTGCCAAGGAGGAAGTCAGTAGTCAGTGGAGGTTCCAGACAACCTTCTGAGAACTCCCGGGGAGGTGTCACTGAGATCCTTGGTGTGGTATGTTACTGGGGAACAAGGGATGGCAGAGACTGGGGCTCGTACTTTACTTCAGTCTCCAGGAAGGCTATGAGCCTGAGCCATCATGTGCTCCGGCGGCCGCCTGCTTCCTAGAGCCACTGAGAGCTGCCAATTCTCGGTCCCTGGGTCTTAGTCGCTGGCGGTGCTGTGAGAAGATGGCGTAGCGGGGCTAAAAGGCCCTAGCGAGTGGTGCTGTGCATCAGGCCTGACTGATGAGTGCGTGGGAGCCAGGCCCTTGGGGGTGCGCGTGCGCGGCTCGCTTCCGCTTTTGATCCGTAATTAGCACTTTACGGCGGAGTGCTCCTTTGTAGTCAGCCTTGACGATGTCCCCATTTATCCTGCAGGAGGGCGCGCGGGTTTACCAGGACCTTTAGAGGGGAAAGATGCGCCAGCGTCGGGGAAGGAAAGGGTGCACTGAGAGTGTGTTGGGAGCCGGGACTGGGTGGGTCCTGGAGCAGCGTTTCGGGGCCAGGAAAAGTGCACCGGGAGGGTTCCGGAAGAGTGTGCCTGGGAAGCGGGTCGGGGAAGGGGAGGGTACGTTAGGAAATTGCACAGAGGGCGCGGGCTGGGGAACCGGGAAGGGACTCCGAGTGCAGTGTTCGGAAACCGTACAAACGGTCCTAGGAGGATGTGGTTTCTCGCGTCAGCCTCTCTACCCGGTCCCGTCGCGCAATCGTTCTGTGCGGTTTCTACCTGATGCACGGAGAGAGGAAGACGGGTAGGGTCGTGTCCGTTTCAGCTCTGGTAGAGAGGGTTCCCTTGCCTCTGGAACTGGCGTGCAAGAGAACCCGGGGAAGCGAGCTGGACAGAATAACAAGGACTTGATGGCGACGTCAGTGAGGAAGTGGACACTCCCACCCCAGCGGGTTCTGTGGAAGGGAGTAAAGTTACATTTGGGAGAACGAGTGTTTTGTATGGATTCAACCATACATTAATTTAAGCACTTAGCCAAATGTTAGAGCATGAAATATTGTCATTCAGTTTTCTAAACGCTCAAAAGAAAGCATTTTCTGTCACAGGTGTTACAAGTTACAAACATTAACTTGCATGGGCATTAGGCCCTCTTGGTATGGCGCTGGAATGCAAACTCGGTTTAGAACCGCAAGGTTGGTGGTTCAAGCCCACCAGCTGCTTCTAGGAAACCCTATATAGGGTCACTATGGGTCGAAACCGACTCGACAGCACACAACAACTCTTTTATAAGGCTACTCATATATAGATATGAAGGGCCCTAAGACGGGAAGGGGTTTCCTGATTTCACCCGCTTTCAGCACATCTCATCTTCTCCCTTTATCAATTCAGGATTTGTGTGGTTTTCCTAGGTGGCCTCTCTGTCCACTGCCTGAAACTGGCCTGTCTTTCTGCCTTCCACTCCAGACATCCGATCCACACCAAACTGCTACCCTTAAACGGTGAGTTACAGAGAAATGCTGTCGGAAATTCCTACTAGAAGGGACACGTTTTCAGTAAAGGTAGTGGAGGCAACTACCCTTGGGCATTGTAATAGCCTCTCCCACTGTACTCCCTTCTCTGTGGGTTTGTTTCTTTCAGGGTTCCCTGCTTTTGGCTCATTAAAAATACACCAGGTTGCTTTCATTTACTGTAATCTTGGCTTTTAAAAAACTTTTTTGTTCCTTCCTTGAATAGAAAGAATGTCTTAATCCGCAGTTTCCTAATCTCAATTTCCCATGGCACCTTCCCACCAAACTGTTCCAATTTGTTGCCAAGCCCTTCAGTTTGTGAGGTCAGCAACAGTTGTTGTTGTTAGGTGCAGTGGAGCCGCTGCCAGCTCACAGCTACCTTATGCACAACAAAACGCAACACTGCCCAATCCAGTGCCAATCTCACAGTCGTGGCTACGCTTGACTCCATTGCCAATCCTTCTCGTTTGAGGCCTTTCACTTTTTTGCGGACCCTCCATTTTACCAAGCATGATGTCCTTCTCCAGGGACTGGTCCCTCCTGATAATTTGTCCCAAGTATGAGAGAGAAAGTTTCACCATCCTGGCTTCTACGGAACATTCTGGCTGCATTTCTTCCTACACACATTTGTTTGTTCTTTTGGCTGTCTATGCTTTTGGGGCCCCAAATTTCTCCTTACCAGTCACTTGTTCATTACTCACCTCCTGGTGTCACACTGGACTGCTAAACACACGGGCGGTGGTTCAAACCCACCAGTCACCCCTCGGAAATTCTGCACAGGGTCGATATGAGCCGGAACCAGCTCAATGGCAGTCCTTATCATAAGCTTTATTGTTGCCATAAATAAGTAGATTCTTACTCACCTCCACCCGAGGTGAAATGCACCTTAGGGTTGCTGAGACTTTGTCCCCTGCTGAGCAGCTGTTGGATTCCACCCACAAACCTTTTGCTTAGCAGCTCAACACTTACCCTACTGAGCCCTCATTGGGCCAGACACAAATTATATTCTTAATTGTAGTATTTAAAGCATTTGTGGGAATTTCTATTTTCTTAACTAAAATGAAAGTAAATCAGTTTTAATGTACATTGGCTTTTTGTTAAAATGGACTTTGGTTGTCTTTTCACTATCATAAAATATAAATCCATTGTAAAAAAACAAGAGTAGGCAATTATACAAAATTGAAAGTGAAACTTCTAGATTTTCAAACTCCCTAAAGATAAACACTGAACGTTTCTCTCACATGAATTTGTTTGGGGAATATTGTTGTTGTTGTTGTTAAGTGCCTTCGAGTCGGAGCCGACCCATAGCGACCCTGTACAGGGTTTCCGAGGGTGTAAATCCTTACGGGAGTAGAAAGCCTCCTCTTTCTCCCGCGGAGCGGCTGGTAGTTTCGAACCACTGACCTTAAGGTTCACAGCCCGATTCGTAACCACTACGCTACCAGGGGAATATAGTAATTTAAAAATATTCCAAAGGTTACATAATAAACAATTTATACAGATGATCTGCTTGTATTATTTGTTTGATGGATTTAAACTAAAAAAAGTGCAAGTGTTCTTGGGAACAGCAGGAGAGCACCAGATATTGTTAGCAAAGGCTCACAGTCAGATGGAGTGAGACGTAAGTGAAAAAACTAGGAATTGTCCTCCACCAGGCATGAAGCTTGAGGGCATTATCATAAAATATCAAAGTGTAAGACATCAAGTTACTGTTTTTGCATTTGTATATTAAAAAAACAAGCACAAGTGCATTATGTTTTATAAATGTTAAATGTTAGAAGAAATGCTTCATGGAATCTTTATACCTAGGAAAGTTGTTGACTTCCCTAGGAGCTAAGGTCAAAATTCACCTGCTGAGGGGTTGACTGGGGTTTGGGAACAGCAGTCAGTTCTAAATAAAGGTCTATCACTCAGGGCAAAGAGCACAATATGATCACAAGTTTTATTCAGATATCCCAGTAGTGCTGTTTAGTTAGATAAGACTTTTGAAAGCCTGAGTTTTAAGATAAGTGCATTTGTTACCGGTTTCTGTTCAGACCATCCTTTTCCTTCCCTTGGTGTTCTCATGTTCGTTAATTCTCTGACTTTTGCCCTTGGCTCCTAATTTCCTACCTGCCTGGTTTTTCTTTCTTTCTTTTTTTTTAAAATTGAAACTTTTGTTGAGTTGATTATTAAATCATATGGATTTAGAGATAGTAGCGAGATCCTGTGTAAACTCATTTGCTCATTCTTTCCCAACAGTAACCTTCTACAAAACTCTAATATAATATTAGAACTAGATATTGACATTTAACTTACTCAGATTTACTTGCATTTGTACATGTGTGTGAACTCAATTGTCTGTAATTTTATCACATGTAGGTTTGTGGATTCACCACTAGTCTAGCTACTGAACAGTTCCAACATCATGAGGACTTTCTGTATCCCTTATGTAACCACTCCTATCTTCTTCTGTTGGGGTTTAGGCCCACCTAGAAAGGAAAAGCCTTCTGCATATGTGGTTGCTGAGACACCGAAAAAACAACAAGGAGTCAAACCTAGAGATATTAGTCTGCTACAGAAAATAAAATAAAATTGCACATAGGAAAATTTACTAAACAGGGTGGATAGTTGTCTACAGTGGTGACTGGCTGCACAGTGAAGGTTTTCTGTTTGAGTAGTGTGGGTTAGGGTCTTTTTATATCATGAGATATACAATCTTCACATGCACCTTGTGGTTTTCCTACCTTTTCCAAATACTGCCTTTAATTGGCCTGAGACATGCCCCTTTCTAACATATGTCAAAGAGTTTCAGTATGCATAGCAGGAGG